GTGGTTAAAAAGTTACGAGTGACCGGCTCGCAACCCTAGAACGTTTGAACTGAGTTAAGGATGACGTGGGAATTAGTTTTATAATTCAGATGTTTTGATTTATGGTCGAATCATAATTGGACAACAAATATAAACACTGCACAGATCACGCCACGCGTCAGAAAGGAAAGCTCTGATTGGAGAGACAAAGGAATGTGTCATGTGATTTTAACATTACTTGTGATCAGTCTAGTGTGTAGTTTAAAAGTTATATTACTTATTAAAATACTATCATAGGATTATAATATCAAGTAATTAATATTGTCATTTCACAGATTGATTTAACATTGAGCTTTACATGATTATTTGGACTAACAAAGATATTTGATTATTATTTAATAGAGAAAAGAGTTCTTGGTCGACTTTCTTCTTGAACTGTAGGGGGAGGCAAATAGCTAGTTAAGACAGTTTAGATGCAGAGGCATCAAAGGCCTTGAGCAATATCTCACAGAGATAAGTTCTTCATGAGGAGAGAGGGGAAAACAGTCCCTTCATGACGCTACAGGCCCCCCTTTTCAAGGGCACGGTGGTCCGATCAGAGACCACCTGGCGTTGAACAACTGGAGTCCTGAAGGACCTTGTCGAGAGATCAATGCAACATTATCCCAGGCAGAGTGTAATTTCCTCAAAAGCACACAATTCAGCAGTCAGCAGAACATTAATATATTCACGTGGAGGGAATAATTTGAAGCAGAAGTAGCAGAGACTTTGTATATCCACGGGTAGAGAATAATTCCAAACAGTACTTTGATCTTTGCAATTGCACTTAGCGTAATCCAAAGTAGCAGGAAAATGAGCAGCAACAGGTCAGATCCCAGCGAGCGAAGTGTCCCAGCAGCCAAAACCGGAACCCACAGACGTCCAGGTCCAGCGAGCCGGAACACCAAGCATCAGCATCCGCTGACGAATCATAGGCTAACCCCAGGAATCGATGATCATCGATGAAACTCAGCAGAGGAGAGAAAGCACAACACAGGGCACTTTAATGTAGACACAACAAGATGGCCTCTGATGCAAATCAATAAAGAAAAAGAAACCTGGCACTATGTGTACCTGTATGTACTATGCGAAGCAAATTATCCGAACAGAGTTCAAGTGAAGAAATGAATGCAATACACAACATGTACTGGAAAAAGTGGTGTAAAAGAATAAAGTAATAAAACCCTATACTATATGTATGGGAGAAATAGAATCACCTTACTAAGCAAAAATTTTATCAAAATGAGGGCAAAAATGGTTGTAGCCCATTACTGGTAAATTAATAAAGTTAATCATAAAGTTTCAAAACTTAATCAACTGTAAATAAAATAGAAAAGTAGATATATGAGTGTCAAAGAGCACTAAAAATGTAAATCAGTGAAGTTAGTAATCAACCTACATGTGAATGTACCCATAAGGAATTAAGATTAGTGAAAATAAAAACAAATTTGGATAACAGCAATATGTGGAATAAACCCTTTTACTGTTAACTTACTGATTACCTGACTTCAGGAATCCACAGCCTGACCATCTCAAATCACCCAAGTCTGCATGTCATGTCTAAACAGGAAAGACATCCATGCACACACACAAACATAGACAAACTTGTGTAACTCGAAATAGAGAGCTATGGAACCGACGAGTCTGGGCAATAGAAATCACTCCACTTTGAAAGTTCTCACTAAAGGTGCAGGAGAAGAAGAAGAAGAAGAAAATATCATTTCTATACCTCTCAAGATAAAAATCACGAGGCGCTTCACAAAAACAAAAACAAAAACAAAAAATATAAAAAATTGTAAAAATATAAAAAAGCATTTAGAACATGTTTAAAAATATATTTAAAAGGAGCAAGAATAAGCAATTGCTATTTAAAAGAGAAAATGTTAAGAAAGAGAGAGAGTGAACAGGAAAGAGGGAAATCAGTGGATCCTGAGGAAGGTGGAATAGGTGGGGAGAGCAGAATAAAGAGAGAGAGGTGAAGAAGGTCATCCAAAAGCCAGCTTGAACAAGTGAGTCTTCAGCTGCTTTTTAAAGGAGACCACTGAGTCCACTGATCTCAGGCTCAGGGGGAGAGAGGTCCAGAGTCTGGGGGCCACAGCAGCAGATGATCTGTCACCTTTGACCTTTAGCCTGGTGCTGCACAACCAGTAGGCTTTGATCACTGGACCTCAGGGACCTGCTGGGGGTGTAGGGACTGAGAAGATCACCAATGTAAGATGGTGCTTGTCCATGTAAGGCCCTCTAGACCAGAACCAGGATCTTGAAATGAACCCTGAAGTTGACTGGCAGCCAGTGAAGCTGGAGGAGAAGCGGGGTGATGTGGGTGTGTTTGGAGGACTTGGTCAGAAGCCGAGCACAGGCGTTCTGAACCACCTGTAGACGGTTCAGGGAGGTTCTGCTCAGACACGTGAAAAGAGAGTTACAGTAGTCTAAGCGTGAGGAGATGAAGGAGTGGATAACAGTCTCAAGTTCAGAGCGGGACAGAATGGGACTCAGCTTAGCAACGTTCCTGAGATGGAAGAAGGAAGAGCCAACAAGAGAACTGACATGAGAATCCAGGGTGAGAGCTGGGTCAAAGGTCACGCCAAGATTCCTGACTGAAGGTTTGGTGTGAGAAGCAAGCTGACCAAGAGAGTCTCTGACTTTGGGAACCAGCTTGTCTGGGGCACAGATGAGGATCTCAGTCTTATCTTCATTCAGCTGAAGAAAGCCCCCACCATCCAGGTTCTGATAGAGTCTAAGCAGGTGTGTAACAGCTGCAGCTTAGACATCTCATGGGGCTTAAAGGAGATGTACAGTTGGATGACTCTCTTGGTCAGCTTGCTTGAGTGTATTGGAGTGTATTGATATTGATTAAAGCACAGATTATTCAAACATTTGACTTAAACATCTCGTTCATTCATCACATTTGATTATTTCAACTTATAAGTTTTAAAGTCATATAGGCACTTCAAGGTGGTTGACATTTATTTAGGGGGGATGCAGCAGTCAGGCTCCAGCCTCAGACCTTGAGCAGAGATGTTTTGGCTTCTTTGCCATAACAGTAACTGGCTGAACCTTGTTTTGGATTTGGGGCCAGACAGATGGTGTTTTCTGCAAATGAAAGGTTACTTTCTGGTCAATGTGTTGGTGAAATTTGACGACTTGGTACGTTAGACATTCCTACTAGAGACCTCTGCAAATGCATTGAATAAATGAGTGAACAACTCCTTTAAATGACTAAAGTTGCTTCCCAGCATGTAAAAGCACAAACATATACCTGACAAAGCGTTGTTCTGACCCTGTTGTCTCTGGTGTCCAGTCTTTAGACTTCACAATCGCCAAAGATGAACGTCTTGCTGTTGCCTTCTTCCAGAGATCAGCAGTCATGATGCAGATGAACAGGTAGGACACCTAAAACCATCACGCCTCACTGTATATCTGCTTTAACCTTTTGTACAAAACACATAGAACAGACGAGACTTGGAAAACCAAATGTATTAGCTCAAGTGAGAACAGTTAATCTGTTTATGTCAAAACAACAGAACAGCCACATGTATCCCCAGAGCCACCAGTTGCAGACCAGTGGCGGCTGGCCACTAGAGGGCGATAGGGTGCCCCCCCCCCAGTTTTCCCCAGTGTTTTTAATTTTTATTTAAAAAAATAAATAAATAAAATTAACAATAATCACATATTGGTCCTTCAATGTTGGGAGGACAATGCTGACCATGTTCTACCACTCGGTGTTGGAGAGCGTTGTGTTCTTTGCAGCTGTGTGCTGGGGCAGTGGGGTGAAGATAGCAGATGCCAACCGGCTGAACAAGCTGATTAGAAGGGCTGGGTCTGTCCTGGGTGTTAGACTGGAGAACCTGGAGGAGGTGTCTGAGAGGAGAATGCTAAAAAAGCTTCTCTCTATCATGGACAACCCCTCCCACTCCATGCACGCCCACATGATGGACCACCGAAGCACACGCAGCAAAAGACTCATTGCCCCGAAATGCAGAACTGACCGCCACAGGAAATCCTTCGTACCGGTGGCAATAGGACTGTTTAACTCTTCCTCACGCTGTAGGTGATTCTCCAAATACTATTACCTTGGTTATTCTGTGCCCTCACCGACTGTGCAATATTACCCAAGAGTTCTGATTGTAAATATGTTTTTATCCCCCCATCATATCATATGCTGCTACAAACCCATATTCTTTTACACAATACTTTAATCACTTTTGTGAATCGCCTGCACCGACAGCTTAATTACTTATCCACAAGGATGCAGTCATGTATTTAATTAATTATTTTTATTTTTTTATTTTTTTATTTTTTATTTTTTTAATGAATATATTGTATATCATATTTCTATTTCACCTGTTCCTTTGTCTCTCCAACTGCTTTGAGCATGTACATGACACAAAAATTTCCCTCGGGATAAATAAAGTTGTTCTTATTCTTATTCTTATTATTCTTATATTCTAAGTTACTTGTGTGTTTTGTAACAAAAACAAATCACATATATATATATATATATATCTATATCATTGGTGAGAAGCGACAGAAAGATCGCCCAAACGGCAGTGAAGCAGCCAGCCAATTGCTGACAAGAAAATCAAACTCATAGGAATGGGAATGCATGCAATCAGCGTCGTCAATTCGGAAGCCCGAAGGGCGATAGAGCTACCGCCCAAGGCTGTTCGTTGGTGTTCGGGTTGAGCTCGACAGCTCACGAGTCCCGACTGTGGACAAGTGGATGAAAATGGATGGATGAATGGATTTGGATTTTAAACAAGATGCACTAAAATGCCACAATAGTGACTATACTTGTTTAAGGCATTATTTAGACACTTGTAGTTTATCAGCAAGAATAAGGTTTATTTGGGAGTGACTTGCTCTTTAAATTCACTCTCTCACCATCTCATAACTGCACTACCAGTTTCCTGTCTCCAAAATGTGCTTACACTAGGGTCAGTGTGGAAGCCAAGTTTGAGTTCATATATGTTTAAGTCTGTGAATAAGTTAAGCTAAAAACAATTTCATTTGTGTATTTAAAAATGTTAATAAGTTAAAAGAAGTCTTGTTTTGGTCAATTCATGAAGGGTAGAAAATAGGTTACTGTCACTTTAAGAAAAAGGCAGACACACTGGGTGGGGCTGTAAAAAACAGTTACATCCAGCTGAGCGTGGTGAGGTGTAGAGCAATATGGTTTCTTACCATAGCATTGTTTTGTTTAAACCTTAGGAAAACTTAATTTTGGACACTCCTGTAAGATTACAAGCTGTGGAATAAATTTTTTGTTATCTTTTCATCGGAGTACTCTGGAAGCCTGTCTCCTCATCATTAAACATGCACGAGTAAACCAAGGCCAAGGAAGCCTTACCAGCCACAGTCAGAGTTTACTAAATGTTGCTAAATTTTCCCGTGAATTTTTTCTTTATAAATCACAACGTTTGAGTAGTGTAGGGTTAGCATACGTATGTATTTTGGGTGCTTTTTAAGCTCAATATACTACACTACATTTGACCAATAAGATGTGAATTTCTTTATAAATATAGAAATCCAACCTGATTGGTCTTTGAATGTTTAACCAGAAGATTTAATTCATTTCAATTCAAGTTTATTTATAAAGCGCCAAATCACGACAAGAGTCGTCTCAAGGCACTTCACATAATAAACATTCCAATCCAGGTCAGTTCATTAAGCCAATCAGAAATAATGTTTCCTATATAAGGAACCCAGCAGATTGCATCAAGTCACTGACTAGTGTCAGAGTCTTTACAGCAATCCTCATACTAAGCAAGCATTTAGCAACAGTGGAGAGGAAAACTCCCCTTTAACAGGAAGAAACCTCCAGAGGATCCTGGCTCAGTATAAGCAGCCATCCTCCACGACTCACTGGGGATCGAGAAGACAGAGCAGACACACACACACACACACACAAACACACACACACACACACACACACACACACGCACGCACACACACACACAAACAAAGGTTACATTGTGATTGCTTAGTAAATATTTCATTTGGCGAGAGATAAACTTTATTGTATTTATCCTAGTTAATCTATTGTTAAACGGATAAACTAGTAGTAACACATCCAACGTCAAGGAAAGCAAAAAGTTATTATCAGGAGAGGGAGAGTGTTTAAGTGGTTAGCAGCAGTGTGCTAGACGATGGCCCCCTCCATGAGGCCACCACAGCTCAGCAGAATATAATTGTAGCTTCTTCTGGGGAGAAAAATACTTAGAGAAAAAATAAAGTTAACAGATGAAATTGCAGAAAATAGTACAGTTAAAGAGCAGACTGTAGAAGAAAGTAGTAGAGTGTGAAAAGTGGTCAGTGTGTCCTCCAGCAGTCTAAGCCTATAGCAGCATAACTACAGAGATAACTCTGGATAACCTAGCCTTTTTAGATGGAGGCATGTTGGAGGCAGGGCAAGGGAGAGCCGTCTTTACCGACTGTACACTCCACCTCCCTCTACTCCCCCACTTGTCCAGATCTAGGCTAACATAAGATTTTAACCATAAGCCCTATCAAATAAAAATGTTTTAAGCCTAGTCTTAAAAGTAGACAAGGTGTCTGCCTCACGGACTAAGGCTGGGAGCTGGTTCCACAGGAGAGGAGCCTGATAACTAAAAGATCTGCCTCCCATCCTAATTTTAGATATTCTGGGAACCACCAGTAAACCTGCAGTCTGAGAGCGAAGTGCTCAGTTAGGAACGTATGGAACAATCAGATCACTGATGTATGATGGAGCTTGATTATTAAGAGCTTTATATGTGAGAAGAAGGATCTTAAAATCTATTATAAATTTAACAGGTAGCCAATGTAGGGAAGCTAAGACAGGAGAGAGATAATCTCTCAGAACTCTAGCTGCAGCATTTTGGACAAGCTGAAGACTTTTAACTACATTCTGTGGACTTTCTGAGAGTAATGAATTGCAGTAATCCAGTCTTGATGTAATAAATGCATGAACTAGTTTTTCAGCATCACTCCTGGAAAGGATGCTTCTAATCTTAGCAATATTCCAAAGGTGGAAAAAGAAAATCCTACAAACCTGATTAACCTGGGATTTGAATGACATGTCCTGGTCAAAGATAACACCAAGGTTCCTTACTTTGTTCTCGGAGACTAATTTAATGCCGTTCAGGTCAGGTGATTGATTAAGCAATTTCCTTTTCTGGATTTCTGGTCCAAAGATGAGAACTTCCGTCTTGTCTTGATTTAAAAGCAAAAAGTTTAGAGTCATCCAATCTTTTATGTCCTCAAGACAAGCCTGTAATCTACCCAACCGATTAGGTTCATCAGGGTTAATGGATAAATATAACTGAGTATCATCAGCATAACAGTGGAAGTTTATCCCATGCTGTCTAATGATTTTACCAATTGGGAGCATGTATATAGTAAAAAGAATTGGTCCAAGCACTGAACCCTGTGGTACTCCACAAGTAACCCTGGAGTATGAAGAAGATTTGTCATGTCCATTTACAAAATGAAATCTATCAGACAGGTAGGATTTAAACCAGCCTAGCGCTGTTTCTTTGATCCCTACAACATGTTCAAGTCTTAATACTAGAACATTGTGGTCTACTGTGTCAAAAGCAGCACAGACACAAGATTCTTATCTGAGGCCATGAGAATATCATTTGTATCTCTCACTAACACAGTTTCAGTGCTGTGATACTGTAAAACCAGACTGAAATTCCTCAAACAGATCATTAGTGTTTAAATGCTGACATACTTGGATGGCCACTATTTTCTCCAGGACTTTGGATAAAAATGGAAGGTTAGATATTGGTCAATAATTCATTGGACCATCTGGATCCAGAGAAGGCTTCTTAAATGAAGGTTTGATTACGGCAACCTTAAAATCCTGTGGTACATACCCATTTACTAAGGATAGATTGATTATATCTAGAATGGGGGCAGTAACCAAAGGAAATGCATCTTTAAATAATTTGGTTGGGATTTGATCCAAAATGCAAGTGGAAGGTTTAGATTAAGCTAATATTTTTGATAACTCTGAAAGCTCAACTGGATCAAAACGGTTCAAGCACAGATGAGGTTCTACAGTCACCTCTGATGCTGCCGCACTTACTGAGGAAGAAGAAATCGCATTAGGGAGGATGCTAAAGATTTTGTTTCTAATATAATTACTTTTACTTGTGAAAAATCCCATGAAGTCATTACTGCTGAGGGCTAAGGGAACAGATGGCTCAGAGCCATGATTCTGTGTAAGTTTGGCAACTGTACTGAAAAGAAATTTAGGATTATTCTTATTCTCCTCAATTAAAGCTGAGAAATAAGCAGTTCTAGTTTGTCGAGGCTTATTTTTATAAAGCAGAAGACTATTTTTCCAGGATAGGTAGGCCTCCTCATGGTGCGTAGAGCGCCTTGTTCTCTCCAATTTTCTAGAGTTTTGTTTTAAGGCTCGTAAATGAGAATTAAACCAGGGAGCCAACTTCCTGTCCCTAATTACCTTCTTTTTTAAAGGGTCTACATCATCTAATGCCACTCGTAAAGAGGAAGTAACATGATGAACTAAGGCATCAATTTGTGAGGGGCTAGAACTGAAAATATTGCCCTCTGCTACATGCCTCTGAGATGCTGAGGACAGTAAAGATGGAACAGTTGATTTAAAAGATGCAACTGCATTGTCAGATAGAGACCGACTATAGTGAAATTTACATTCATGTCTCGAGAACTCAGTTATAAAAACTCAAAGGTTATCAGAAAGTGGTCCGAGAGGACTGGATTATGTGGAAATATTGTTATTTCCTCACACTCAATGCCATAAGTCAGCACAAGGTCCAATGTATGATGGCAGGAGTGGGTGGAGCTATGTATTCTTTGAGTAAAACCAATTGAGTCTAGGATATTACTAAAGGCTACATTGAGGCTATCATTTTCAATGTCCACATGAATGTTAAAATCCCCCACTATAATGATCTTATCAGTATTTAGCACCAAATCAGATAAAAAATCAGAGATCTGATCCAAAACTCAGAGTAAGGGCCTGGTGGATGATATAAAACTACAAACAAGAGTGGTTTTACAGTTTTGCAATCTGGATTAGGAAAACTAAAAATACGATGTTCGAACGAACTGTAGCTATTAATTGGTAAGGGACTGATTAATAAGTCCGAATGAAAAATGGTTGCTACTCCTCCTCCTCGCCCTGTACTTCGAGCAATATGATGATTTAAATCATTTGAATGAGTCGACTCGTTTAAACTAACATAGTCATCTTGCTGCAGCCAGGATTCTGTGAGAGAGAGCAAAGAGATCTGATTATCACAAATCAAGTCATTAACTAACAGTCTTAGAAAAAAATGGATCTAATGTTCAATAACTCACATTTAATTTTTCTAATTTTCTGCTCAGTTGAATTTGTTCACCCACGTGGATTCACATGACATATTACAGATCAGTTATTTCATATCACTGCCATAAAGCTTTGGGTTTAACCATTTTCTTAATTCAATGCATAAAACTATAAATTATGTTTGATCCATTTGTAAAATGTATTAACTGATGTTTGTAATAAACTCACGAAACGTAAATAAAGACTGATCATTTGCAGCATCTCAAGAATAGTTGGTGAATTCATTCTTTAGATCAATTTGTGGTATTAACTTTGAAACTGATTACATTGAGAAGATATACACTAAACAAAAATATAAATGCAACACCTTTGTTTCTGCTCCAATTTTTCATGAGATGGACCTAAAATTCATTCTAGATACATAATATTACCATTTCTCTCAAACATTGTTTACAAATCAGTCTAAATGTGTGATAGTGAGCACTTCTGCTTTGCTGAGATAATCCATCCCACCTCACATGTGTGCCACATCAAGATGCTGATCTGACATCATGAGTAGTGCACAGGTGTACCTTATATTGCCCACAATAAAAGGCCACCCTGGAATGTGCAGTTTTGTCTCACAGCAAAATGCCACAGATGCCACAAGCATTGAGGGAGCGTGCAATTGGCATGCTGACAGCAGGAATGTCAACCAGATCTGTTTCTCATGCATTGAATGTTCATTTCTCCACCATAAGCCATCTCCAAAGGCATTTCAGAGAATATGGCAGTACATCCAACCGGCCTCACAACCGCTGACGACGTGTAACCACACCAGCCCAGGACCTCCACGTCCAGCAGGTTCACCTCCAAGATCGTCTGAGACCAGCCACGCAAGACAGCTGCTGAAACAATTGGTTTGCATAACCAAACAATTTCTGCACAAACTGTCAGAGACCGTCTCAGGGAAGCTCAACTGCATATTTGTTGTCCTCATCGGGGTCTTGACCTGATTCCAGCTCATCGCCGTAACAGACTTGAGTGGGCAAATGGTCACATTTGATGGCGTCTGGCACATTAGAGAGGTGTTCTCTTCACGGATGAATCTCGGTTTACATTGTTCAGGGCAGATGGCAGACAGCGTGTGTGGCGTCGTGTGGGTGAGCGCTTTGCTGATGTCAATGTTGTGGATTGAGTGGCCCATGGTGGTGGTGGGGTTATGGTATGGGCAGGCATCTGTTATGGACGAAGAACACAGGTGCATTTTATTGATGGCATTTTGAATGCCCAGAGATACCGTGATGAGATCCTGAGGCCCATTGTTGTGCCGTACATCCATGAACATCACCTTATGTTTCAGCAAGATAATGCTCGGCCCCAAGGATCTGTACACAATTCTTGGAAGCTGAAAATGTCCCAGTTCTTGCATGGCCAGCATACTCACCGGACATGTCACCCGTTGAGCATGTTTGGGATGTGCTTGACTGGCATATACGACAGCATGTACCAGTTCCCACTAATATCCAACAACTTCGCGCAGCCATTGAAGAGGAGTGGACCAACATTCCACAGACCCCAACTGACAATCTGATAAACTCTATGTGAAGAAGATGTGTTTCACTGCATGAGGCAAATGGTGGTCACACCAGATACTGACCGTTTCTAATTCCCCAGACCCCCAATAAAGCAAAAAACTGCACATTCCAGGGTGGCCTTTTATTGTGGGCAATATAAGGTACACCTGTGCACTACTCATGATGTCGGATCAGCATCTTGATGTGGCACACCTGCGAGGTGGGATGGATTATCTCAGCAAAGCAGAAGTGCTCACTATCACACATTTAGACTGATTTGTGAACAATATTTGAGAGAAATGGTAATATTGTGTATCTGGAATGAATTTTAGATATTTAAGTCCATCTCATGAAAAATCGGAGCAGATTCAAAGGTATTGCATTTATATTTTTGTTGAGTGTAGAAATTAAATCCAATGGTTTAGTTCCATAAAAGTGGTGGTGCCCCGATTAATTAATATAAATGATAAATGATAAATGACCCGCACTTGTATAGCGCCTCTCAGAGTAAGGACTCCAAAGCGCTTTACACTACAGTGTATCATTCATCCATTCACACACACATTCACACGCTGATGGTGATGAGCTACGATGTAGCCACAGTTGCCCTGGGGCGCACTGACAGAGGTGAGGCTGCCGAGCACAGGCGCCACCGGTCCCTCCGACCACCACCAGCAGGCAAGGTGGGTTAATTGTCTTGCCCAAGGACACAACAGCAGAATTCTCTGTCCGGAGCCGGGATCGAACCAGCAACCTTCCGATTCCTGGACAACCCGCTTAACCTGTTGAGCTACTGCTGCCCTCAATATAAAGTTATAAACAACTAAGCAAGCTAAATCTACAACACATTTGAAATATAGATATAAATCTATATTTATCGCTACACCAGAGTCGTCTGCGGGTCACGACAAACAGGTGGACTTGTTTTGTGTCAATGGAAGGACTCTTAAGGAGTCGGAGTTGGTTCAGCTTTTTTCTGCAGGAACCGTTTGCGGTCAGCTGTTGTGTGCAACAGGTTTTGACAGCTTGTCAAAAGATGCGATGGGAGCAGAGGCTTCCTCAGATGGCCAGTCAGAGTTGGGCTATACTGACTCACTCAGGAAGTGATTCTGTTTAAATAATGGCCATATTTTGGTTTACTGACAAATCAGAACTTGCCATTTAAAGGGGTTTTGCCAACAAACCTCAGATACACACCTCCCTCAGATATGGAGATGCTGATTTTTGGATAAGAAAATATCTATGTGCAGTGACATTAAATTTAACTTGCATCATGGAGATATGGTGAGTGTGTGCTTGTCCAGTCAGTACGCTGATTAAATACATGGGTCATATATTTCATTTTATCCTTATTAATCTTTCAATGTAATAATAATATTCTTTTCAACTTCAGTAATTTAAGCACAGATTAATCAAAACATTTCATTTAACCATATGGTCCATTTCATTAAATGATTAGTTAACTCATATTGTTCATTTCATTATACGGTTTAATTATGAAAGTTCATCCTTCTTGTTCTGTGAAGCAAAGTTTCCTAGATAAGAGGAAGCTGGAGAAAGACTTTGGCCAAGCAACAGTATCTTTCTTGCTGATTAAAGGCTCCAGTTAAGACATATGTCTCCATATGACCAGGTACTGAAGAGGTAAAACTGCAGGTGAAAAACTGGTCATTTCTGAAGGCCACAGTAGGAAATGACTTATGCACACCCACCAAGCCCCCATAATTTGGGTCTGGATATGAAGCAAAACTGGAAGTAACAAAAATTGCAGTTCCACCCTCATCCGCTAGGGGCTGGTGTCAGAAGGTGTCAAAAATACCAATTTCACAGCAAAAATAAACATGTTTACAGCCTGGTTCCAAAACATGTTTTAGCTTTAATAGATCTAGTTTACACTCATGACAACTCTTGAGGGCAGTGAAATTTTTGTCACTCTCCTGTTTAAGTGTATTAAAAGCCTAAAATTCTGAATAAATAATGAGCGTCAGTTGCACAAGAAAGTACAAAGTGTTCACAAATCCACTCAGAAAAGACATAAAATAAAACACATTTTATAAAATGACAGCAGGAACAAACCTGTGCTTTAGAGCTGTGGCTAGAGAAAATCCAACATGGCAGCTAGAGCTAGTGATGAGTCAGCTTTAGGTGAGAGATGAATCAGCGCCTCCTGTCCGAGGTGACTGGTGTCATCCCCTTTAGTGAGTTAAATGGAGGTCGACTGCACTCTAGTGGCTGATAATGATATTGCCTCTTTTCAACCAGAAACAACAAATTTTAAAGAAATTTTGAGTGTTTTGATCTTAAAATGCTTTAAAGTCAACACAAAGTGTCAAAATGTACAAATAAACGGGCTGGCACGCCATTATGTAGTGGTCCAATAGTTACATCTTACATAAGAAACCATCAAAGGTGAGATTCCATAGAAAATATGAAATCAGTTTGATGTGTCTTTGAATATTTCTTTAAACAGAAGATCGGAACTTTTTATTGCAGGGATTAGGTAACACTTCGTATTAACCCAGAGTCAAGAGAGAGAGAGAGACAAGTTTTAAAGTTTAAGAAGATTTATTTCTAAACAATTTAAAATAAGGCTAACTAACTCTAAACACTCTATGTGATGAATGGATCTAGGCGTGAATGAGGCAAAATGGAGGATGTAATGTGGAATGTTGTGATCAGAACTCTTGTTTCCGGAGAAGCGTTAGTTCTGAGTGGGAACGAATGTATTTGCTCAAAACTACAGTCGGAGTTTCAAAACCACATTCAGACGCTATCTTGCCATTCTACCTCTGTTGTAGAACCAGAATGCCAGGTCCTCGGATCCGCCTTTGGTACCGGAGCCGATGAAACAGCGTACGGTATGACAAACTAGTCTAGGGGTTGTCTCCAGGTAAGCGGCAGTTGGTTGACAGCGTCAGCGGGACCCAGAAGGGTCAGTGAGTTCAGCTTTTATTCTGAAGGAGCGTTGCGTCAGGTGTAGCTTGTAACAGGTTTTGTTTTCTAGCTTGTTGTTAGGTTCTTTGTGGTTAAAAAGTTACGAGTGGCCGGCTCGAAACTCTAGTTCAGGGGTGTCAAACTCAAACTCACACGGGGCCGAAATGAAACTCTGGGATGGAGTCGAGGGCCAAACTTAATATTTTTTGAAAAAGTGATGGCAAATTTGCACGTTTTCTTTATCAACATGTATGCAATTTTGAACCTTTAAATTTGGAAACAAACTTATTTCTGCATTAACACTGAATGTGGAATAACCAAATGACACACGAGCAAGTCAGTTTTAAATAAAAGGCATCAGTGGTATTCATTACTTGTGGTATAATCAGCATTTTTAAAATCTATTCAGGATTTATGTTTTCTTGTTTATTCATTTTTCTTATTTTTTATTCTCCTTTTTTCTCCTGTAATACGTGTCATCGCTGCTGTGACGTCTAGCTTTAAGTGATGGGAATTCCGGCTCTTTTTAGAGAGCCGGTTCTTTTGGCTCAGCTCACCAAAAAGAGCCGGCTCTTTCGGCTCCCAAGTGGCTCCTCAGATTTTCTGTTGCGTAGAGTACATTTATAACCAAAATAATGCTAAACTATATGTAAAATAATTTACTAATGTAAAAAAATGCTATATATCAAATATTTATCATTTCTATGGATTTAATAACTGAACACTTTAAGAAATCTCCACTTTCCGACTGCTGGCGCTCATTTTCTCACCGTCTTCGTCGCGCTCTCCTCCCTCTCGCTCGCCTTTTTCCTCCTCCTCATTCCCTCATCTCCCTCCTCCCACACGTGCTCTGCTGTGTGTCTGTCTGAGTATGATCCTCCCTCTTCCCCGCCCCTACTGCTCTGTGTGTGGACAGTCTGGACACGCAGTTACACATGTTGTAGCTTTCACCAAGGCGGGGGGGAGGGGGGGAGGGGACGGCTCCCAATGAAGAGCCGGCTCTTAGAGCCGGTTCGTTCGTGACCGACACATCACTACTAGCTTTCCCCACTGAGGAACAATAAAGGGATTTTCTATTCTATTCATCTATCTGCAGCCTTTCCACTTCCTGTTTACTGTAGGTTAAATCTTTTCTCACGGGCCAACAACAAAATAAAAATATCATTTTATCTTAAATGAAAATGCAACATCTCACCTGTTAACTTTCATGTTTTGGAGCAGAAAAAGAGCAGAAAACCAACATATTTAAAGCTCAGTTTGCTCCACTGGTTTACTGTGATGCTCACCTGTTCCAGCCAGATACCTGCATCATGGGGTTGATCTGAGCTGAGGAGGAGACTCCTGTTGTTTTGTTCATCTTCATCATAATAATGACAACATTAGATGACAACAGGTGCTCACATAGGTTTGTGCTGATGAACATGTCTGAGCAGCTTGACCACGTTGTTGTGTGTCGGGGAGGAAACACAACCACAGAGCCGTGCTGGTTTGAGCATGTCGCTGCTCGCTGGAGTTATATCGGCTCTGTCTGGAAGTTAGTAGGAAAACTTTCTCTTTCAGTCGTGAACACATTACTGAGCGGCTAGAATCTCCGTTTCTGGGCTTCAACGTCAGAAAACAGCTGAGTGAACTCGGCGCTGAGTGAGAGGAGTGTAGTTTGTCCGAGACAGCGGAGCTGCAGACACCGGCAGCAGACGCTGGAAAAACACAAAGGAGGGGGCTTCGTCAGCTCCGCGCTGACGCCGCAAAGCATCATGGGAGTTGAAGTCTTTGCGGTAAAATCGGCCAGTGGGCCAGTTTTAATATATTTTTGATATTTATCTCGCGGGCCACATAAAAATGCTCCACTGGCCGCATCTGGCCCGCGGGCCTTGACTCTGACATATGTGCTCTAGAACGTTTGAACTGAGTTAAGGGTGACGTGGGAGTTAGTTTTATAATTCAGATGTTTTGATTTATGGTCGAATCAGAATTTGACAACAAAAATAAACACTGCACAGATCACGCCACGCGTCAGAAAGGAAAGCTCTGATTGGAGAGAAAAAGGAATGTGTCATGTGATTTTAGCATTACTTGAGATAGGATTGTCTAGTGCTTCTGTACCAAGTTAATTCTTTATACAAAACTACTGATTACAGTATTATAATTCAAGTAATTAACACAGTCATTTCACAGATTGATTTAACATTGAGCTTTACATGATTGTTTGGACTAACAAAGTTATTTGATTATTATTAAATAGAGTTCTTCTGATCTTCTCTTGAGCTGTAGGGGGAGGCAAATAGCTAGTTAAAACAGTTTAGATGCAGAGGCATCAAAGGCCTTGAGCAATATCTCAAGGAGATTAGTTCTTCATGAGGAGGGAGGCCGAAATGACCTTTAGGTGGAAAACAGTCCCTTAATGTCGCTACAACTGTTTATGTTTATGTTTATTTATTTAGCAGACGCTTTTATCCAAAGTGACTTACAATTTATAACCTATAGGGCATGTTGTGATCTGTGGGGGAAACCGGAGTACCCGGAGGAAACCCACGCATGCATGGGGAGAACACACAACTCCACGCAGAAAGGCCGCAGCCGAGTTTCAAACCTGCAACCTTCGTGCTGCGAGGCAACAGTGCTAACAACTGCGCCACCATGCAGCCCATGTTTAACCATGACATTTAAATTTAATAGGGTAAAGCCCAGTGCATTTAACATAACGCTGCATTTTTGAAAATGGGTTGAAATATGACATGTTGGTGGAGCTGGATTCCAACTATTGGTATGGTCCCCTCCCCTCAGCGGCAGCTCGGCGCATCTCTGACTCAGAAGCTCTGGTGTTGTGCACAGTTAGCTCCGGTTGTAGCTAAGTAGCTACCTCCATTAGCTTAGCTCCCACCTCCGTGTTTGCTTTGGGTTAGCTTTTAGCTACATTGCTTCAGTTTGACAAGTGTCGTCATTTGATCCCAGCCTTCCAGCCTCACCCTCAGCTCCACCTCTTTTAACTTTTGTGGAATTGTCTGGGCGTAACGAAACATGTGACACAATCAAAATGGCGGTGGTGGCCACCTCCCATTTCAGATAAAAAACTTATAATACGAGGCTATGGACAGGAATTGTCCAGTATATATATATATATATATATATATATATATATATATATATATATATATATATCGATGACACACACACACACACACACACACACACACACGTCATAGCCACAGCTGCCCTGGGGCAGGCTGGGGAGGACAGACACCACCTATCCCTCCAACCACCACCAATGGGCAAGGTGGGTTGAAAGTCTTGCCGGAGGACACAACAGCAGAATTCTCTGCCGGGAACCGGGATTGATCCGACAGCCCACTGATTGCTGGACAGCCCGCTCTACCTCCTGAGCTACTGCTGTCCCCTGTATAAATGAGGCTCCTAATCTGTGCAACACTGTGCATCAACATGTGGGTAAAATATGTTGTAAGAGTGGTTGAAAAGATGGCAGCACCCATTTTAGTTTAGACAAATGCAGAACATTGAAAACATGAAGCAACTTGTTGAGCTCGGATCTCTGACTTGCTCCTGTTCTCCCGTGTCCCTGTCCAGGCCAGAGGAAGCTCTGTCAGACTGCATCTGGGCTCAGAAGCACATGAGAGGAAATGTTGTCATTGACTACAGACAGCTGGGACTAAGATTTAAACTCTACAGCTGGCAGGTCTGACACACACACACACACACACACTCTCTCTCTCTCTCTCTCTCTCTCTCTCTCTCTCTCTCTCTCTCTCTCTCGGGAGCAAACAATGTCACATTGTATGAGGCAGAGGAGGTTCATTAATGTCACGACTTGTAGGTGGTTACTTTTCATAAATTACCAGTAGAATATAAAGGTAATAAATAAAATGTAATATTCCATAAAAATATTATTGAGCCTTTAAAATTGGATTGGTGATGAAACCAGGTACTTTGGTTAATCCAGGGAAACAACACTTTATAATAAATTCACACAGAGTCAAACTATAGTTTATAAAAATCTATTTATTACTATATTAATGATGATGAAAGGTTAATTATTACTGTGGGGATTCACAGTGGTATTCAGTTCAATTCAAGTTTATAAAGTGCCAAATCAGGACCAGAGTCATCTCAAGGACCTTCACACAGTAAACATTCCAATACAGGTCAGTTCATTAAGCCAATCAGTAACAAGTTTCCTATATAAGGAACCCAGCAGGTCACATCAAGTCACTGACTAGTGTCAGAGTCTTTAGAGCAATCCTCTTACTAAGCCAGCATTTGGTGGCAGTGGAGAGGAAAACTCCCTTTTAACAGGAAGAAACCTCCAGAGGATCCTGGCTCAGTATAAGCAGCCATCTGTCACGACTCACTGGGGATGGAGAAGACAGAGCAGACTAGAACCCTGCGCGGGCCTAAAATCTGAGCCCGTGTCCGGCCCGGCCCGAGGGGGTGGAGCCCCAGCCCGACCCGGCCCGAAAAGGTTTTCAGGATTCTCTGGCCCGGCCCGAGCCTGAGCCCGACTTTTTTTTAACCAACTAAATGAAAACAAAGTGCGTCAATCCTGACCAATGTGTTAAAAGACGTGCAGGATCTGATCAATTTGTTTTTCCCTCGTTTACCGCCACGGAGATAACGGCGCACTGGCTCTGGTGTTAATCAAGTTAAATTTGATCTCTTTCCAACAATTTTCACAAGAAAACAGAACAGTTAAAAGCAGGGCTTGTGTTGACCGGATAGTTCCCGTATTTGACCGTTTATTTTGACGGAGAAAGAATAGAAAGAATTATCCCGACGCATGCAGACGAACTAACATTTTATTCGTTACACACATCGCAGATGTAGCTAAATCACCCAAGAAAAGATTCCCATCTGAACATCTGAGCTGCTCAGCGCATATGTGCACAGCGAGCTGACGTTGTGGAGATTGGCTTGGAGCGCGTTGCAGAACCTGAGCGCATGCGGGAAGCTTCCTCCCACTGAACACTGTTCTCTCAGAGAGACTTGTCACTTAGAAAATGTTCCCTGATTATGAAACTTTGGCTGAATAGTGCTTGTTCCTGTCTCCAATGTGGCGACACATCCAGGAGGAGAATCCCAGAATCTCTTCAGCTCAGGAAGAGCCTATGATTACGCACAAGCGTGACGCGTCAACCCGGTCTCACAGTAAGACCGGGTTGGGCCTGTTCAGGTTTACACAGACAGTCTTTACATTTAGAATTGACTTACAGATATAAAATTAATGCAGTAAAATATAAAGCATTTTATTTAAATATCCATTCATTATTTTACAAGCACAGAGAGCCGCATCAGATGGATGGAAGAGCCGCGGGTTGTGACATGTTTTCTCCAGGACCAGAGAGGACGCAAACTCAATACATCTCTTTTATTGTGAGGTAATAATTTCTCTGAGTTTTGCGGTTGCGGGCGGGAGTAGACATGCACGCTACGGGTGCGGGCGGGAGTTTAACGTTGCAGTTGCAGGCGATAATGGTCAGAAATTCAGCGGGAGCGGGCAGGAGCGGGATGAAGAAAACAGTCCCGCGCAGGGCTCTACTGCTGCGTTTTTGTTTCAGTTTTTTTATGAATTCGATTAAAAATAAAGGCGCCCGGCCCGGCCCGTGTCCGAGGTGATTACACAGTTGTTGGCCCGAAGCCCGGCCCGAGGGCCTAGGGCTTCAGTGCAGGGCTCTAGACCAGACACACACACACACACACACACACACACACACACACACACACACACACACACACACACACACACACACACATGCACACACACACACACACACACACACACAACATACACTGAACAAAAATATAAATGCAACGCTCTTGTTTTTGCTCCCATTTTTCATGAGACGGACTTAAAGATTTAAAATTAATTCCAGATACACAATATTACCATTTCTCTCAAACATTGTTCACAAATCAGTCTAAATGTGTGATAGTGAGCACTTCTGCTTTGCTGAGATAATCCATCCCACCTCACATGTGTGCCACAAGATGCTGATCCGACATCAAGAGTAGTGCACAGCTGTACCTTATATTGCCCACAATAAAAGGCCACCCTGGAATGTGCAGTTTTTTGCTTTATTGGGGGTCTGGGGAATCAGAAACGGTCAGTATTTGGTGTGACCACCATTTGTCTCATGCAGTGCAACACATCTTCTTCGCATAGTTTATCAGATTGTCAATTGTGGCCTGTGAAATGTTGGTCCACACCTCTTCAATGGCTGTGCGAAGTTGTTGGATATTAGTGGGAACTGGTACATGCTGTCGTATATGCCAGTCAAGCACATCCCAAACATGCTCAACGGGTGACATGTCCGGTGAGTATGCTGGCCATGCAAGAACTGGGACATTTTCAGCTCCCAAGAATTGTGTACAGATCCTTGCAACATGGGGCCGTGCATTATCTTGCTGAAACATGAGGTGATGTTCATGGATGTACGGCACAACAATGGGCCTCAGGATCTCATCACGGTATCTCTGCATTCAAAATGCCATCAATAAAATGCACCTGTGTTCTTCGTCCATAACAGATGCCTGCCCATACCATAACCCCACCACCACCATGGGCCACTCAATCCACAACATTGACATCAGCAAAGCGCTCACCCACACGACGCCACACACGTTGTCTGCCATCTTCCCTGAACAATGTAAACCGAGATTCATCCGTGAAGAGAACACCTCTCTAATGTGCCAGACGCCATCAAATGTGAGCATTTGCCCACTCAAGTCTGTTACGGCAATGAGCTGGAATCAGGTCAAGACCCCAATGAGGACGACGAGCATGCAGTTGAGCTTCCCTGAGACGGTTTCTGACAGTTTGTGCAGAAATTGGTTGGTTATGCAAACCAATTGTTTCAGCAGCTGTCTTGCGTGGCTGGTCTCAGACGATCTTGGAGGTGAACCTGCTGGATGTGGAGGTCCTGGGCTGGTGTGGTTACACGTCGTCAGCGGTTGTGAGGCTGTTTGGATGTACTGCCATATTCTCTGAAATGCCTTTGGAGATGGCTTATGGTGGAAAAATGAACATTCAATGCACGAGCAACAGATCTGGTTGACATTCCTGCTGTCAGCATGCCAATTGCACACTCCCTCAATGCTTGTGGCATCTGTGGCATTTTGCTGTGAGACAAAACTGCACATTCTAGGGTGGCCTTTTATTGTGGGCAGTCTAAGGTACACCTGTACACTACTCATGATGTCGGATCAACATCTTGATGTGGCACACCTGTGAGGTGGGATGGCTTATCTCAGCAAAGCACAGGTGCTCACTATCACACATTTAGATTGATTTGTGAAAAATGTTTGAGAGAAATGGTAATATTGTGTATCTGGAATGAATTTTAGATCGTTAAGTCCATCTCATGAAAAATGGGAGCAAAAACAAAAGTGTTGCGTTTATATTTTTGTTCAGTGTATGTACCAAGTAGTGTTTCTATGGTTACACTGTGATTTCTTAGTAAATATTTTATTTGGTGAGAGATAAACCTTATTGTATTTATCCTAGTGAATCTTTAATTAAATGGGTAAACTAGTAGTAGCATATTCAATGTCAAAGTGAGTAAAATGTTATTATCAGGAGAGGGAGAATGTTTAAGTGGTCAGCAGCAGTGTGCTAGCCAATGGCCCCCTCCATGAGGTTACCGTAGTTCAGCAGAACATAATTGCAGCTTCTTCTGGGGAGAAAAACACTCAGAGAAAAAATAAAGTTAACAGCTGAAATAGGAAATGATACAGTTAAAGAGCAAATTGTAGAAGAAAGTAGTAGAGTGTGGAAAGTGGTCAGTATGTTCTCCAGCAGTCTAAGCCTATAGCAGCATAACTACAGAGATAACTCTGGATAACCTACCCTTTTAGATGGAGGCATGTTGGAGGCAGGGCAAAGGAGAGCCGTCTTTGCCGACTACAAAAGCTAACATCAGATTTTAACCATAGGCCCTATCAAATAAAAATGTTTTAAGCCTATTCTTAAAAGTAGACAAGGTGTCTGCCTCACGGACTAAAGCTGGGAGTTGGTTCCACAAGAGAGGAGCCTGATAGCTAAAAGATCTGCCTCCCATCCTATTTTTAGATATTCTGGAAACCACCAGTAGACCTGCAGTCTGAGAGCGAAGTGCTCGGTTAGGAACGTATGGAACAATCAGGTCACTGATGTATGATGGAGCTTGATTATTAAGAGCTTAATATGTGAGAAGAAGGATCTTAAAGTCTATTCTGAATTGAACAGGTAGCCAATGAAGGAAAGCTAAGATAGGAGAGATATGATCTCTCTTTTTAATTCTCATCAGAATTCTAGCTGCAGCATTTTTGATCAGCTGAAGACTTTTAATTACATTCTTTGGACTTCCTGAGAGTAATGAGTTACAGTCATCCATTCTTGATGTAATAAATGCATGAACTAGTTTTTCAGCATCACTCCTGGAAAGGATGCTTCTAATCTTAGCAATATTCCGAAGGTGGAAAAATGAAATCCTACAAACTTGTGAAACATGGGATTTGAATGACATGTCCTGGTCAAAGATAACACCAAGGTTCCTTACTTTGTTCTCAGAGACTATTTTAATGAAACTCAGGTCAGGTGATTGACTAAGAAGTTTCCTTTTCTGAATTTCTGGTCCAAAGATGAGAACTTCAGTCCTGTCTTGATTTAAAAGCAGAACGTTTTGAGTCATCCATTTTTTTATG